GTGTTGTCTTTTTTGAAAAAGTTTATTTATCGCTACAGGAATGGCCTTTTAAACATGACTTACCTCAATCAGCTCACAACGTTGTGCTGGTGTTTCATATGCTCTGTTTGTTGCCAAAGTCTCTCATTTGCTAAATGTTTACACGAAGTTGTTTATAAATTTCAATGTCGTTTTTCTTTATATTTCTTATCACTGCAGTTTTTCTTATATATCTTTTAATGATTGGTTTATGATGGTGTTTTTATTTTTTTTAGATAATATGATACCAATAAAAAAATGTCTACTTTATTAAAAATTAATTATGAATTATTTAAAATTTATTGAATTTTATTTTTGATTCTTTAAATGATCTAAATTGCTATTAATTAGTAGAATAGTTTTCTTTCATCAAAATTAATTGTAATAAAAAATGTTTATTATATAAATGTATTTAAAACTAGATTCAATGCATAGGTGCATATGCATAGGTCAGTGGCACCTATTTGATCTAAATATAGTTTTCCTTTATTATTAAATTGTTTTTCAAAAAAAATATCTTTAAAACCCAATTGAACAGTTTCTAACTATATAAGCAATTTATATATATATATTTACAAATTTACGTAGTTACAAACATAGACGTCCACAAAAGCGATTTGCAAAGGATTTCAAGTCATCTGTGCTCCACGCCATCAGTCATAATTCGCTGATTGATCTTCTCATGCTCTGAGAGAGAGTTCTTCTTCAGATCATTCTTGGTCTATCAAAGTAAAATTAAATTAACAATTTATTTAAACAATTGTAAATATGAATTATAATTGTATAAACATTTTCTTATGTACTAATAAATATTTATAATATAGCATAAAAGACTTATAAATATTAAACTACATTTAATAAAAAGTGTCCTGTACATTATTAAAAAAAAAACTCCAATAAGTACATAGAAATTTTTTTTATGACTACTTTATAATTTCTACAAGTAAATTTTCTTAAATTCATATTAGAATTAATAAACTATAAGCCAAATATTTTTTCATAAAAACGTTCTGGATGGAATTGTTTATATTATATTATTTTTCCGCCTAATTTTATGTTGACACAAAATTTTTATTAGCAATTTTTTATTGCTACACAAATAGATTGTATGTTTTTGACCATACAAATATTTGTAGTTTACTAAACCTAAATAGTTTTTTTATATATTCTTTATAAATGTATATTTGCCAATAACAAGAAAATTTTATTCAAATAATTTTATTTTCAATTATTTACCAAAGTAACCATATTATAACTTTTTTAAAAGTAATTGTCATTAGAATTTTATTTTAAATAGAATTTAATGAAATGTTTAAAACGAAGTGATTTAATTTTTAATTTTAGAGAAATTATTTTTATTTTGAAGTAAACTAATATTTTTTATATTTCATATTTTCTGCTCTGTGCCGGTACCTTCAGAAAATGTAAATTACTAAAGCAAAAATTTCCCATATCGGAATAAATAAAGAAATATATTATGCTAAACATCTCTTTATATTTCTTATATAATTTATTTCGAAATATGAGGCTTGGAATTCTTTCAGATTATTTAAGAAGAATTTTTAAATCAAGACAAAGTTTCTCAAACTCAACTGACAATAGTTTCATAAACGAAGAAGGTAAAAAAATTATATATTATAAATCCATCCTCAGTCAGTTTTTAAATTTTTAAAAAATTTAAAAAATCAGTATTCATAAATGTGCTTTTATTTTTGTTAATTTTTACTATATTCTATATATATTTTTTATTTCTTTATTTTTTTATTATACTACATTTTGTATATGTATAAGTCACATATTTTATTCTTCACATATTTATTTAAATTTTTATTTATTTTACAAAAAATAATGTATGGAAAACAAATTTCTTATTTAATAAAAAACAAATATTGCATATACATATACAGGGTGTTATTCTTGTAATTTTCATTATTGAAGTGCTGTTTCTAATATTATTTTAATATGGGAAATTTTATAATTATAATTTCCTCGACTAGACTCATATTCTGTATACTGTAAGATAAACGAATTTTAAATTATTCTGATATGACTTATTTGTACTTATTTAATGTTTAATTCATTTGTTTAATATGAAAAAAAAATCTTATATTAAATAATTAATAAGCCCATTAATAGCTTTTCTTTATATATTATTTTAATGTTCTTGTTATAATAATTATAATTGTCTCAAATTATATACAAACATAATCAGCTAGTGCAAACAAATGTGCTTTATTAAATGAAAACACTCTGGATCATTTTTCATTAATAAATAAATCTGTTATAATATTTTACAATTAATAAACTTCCCTTTCTTTAAATAAATATGGAGATAGATACAAGGGTCAGCACCCAGTAGAGTATAAAATTTCGACAAAAATTGTTTGTACTTCAATTTATAATAAGACATAGAAATCTATCATAGATACATACGTATATTATGTTATATAAATCTTCCTTCAAGTTTAGAACAGATCATAAATCTAATTAAAGATTCACGAATTGCAATATCCATTAGACATTAAATCATCAGTAGACATATAAATTAATATGCATAGAACATATCTCTTCTTCGATATGACAGTTCGTGATCGATCTTGGTTGTATTCTGTCTTTAATAACTGAATGTTGAATCGATTTCTTTGACATATTCAAAAAAATATTCGCTTGATATATCTCTCAAAAGCAATCACTTTTTGTTTCAATCTGTGAATTGCATCCATAAATGGTAGAAAATATTTTATATATCATCAAATTTGTATTTCTTGAAATGATAATGCTGTACATAACATTTCGCAATATATAATAATATATGTAACTTGTTTCTCTTGTATATATACTTATAAAAGCTTCTATTTAGAACCTGTTTCTATTGTATATATATAAATCTATACTATTACTAATTCTGTTATCATAGATAAACCTATAATTTGTATATATATTGAAATCTATTGTTGCTTATCACTCGTATCATAAATAACTCTGTTATCGAGACTAGATTATTGTTATTGATAAGTCTATTGTTATAAATAATACTTTCATTATAAAATCTATAAAAAAATCTTTTTTTTTTTTTTGAATTGTTTATAAGTATAGTAAACATGATTTTAAAATTTTTGATAACCCCAATATTATTGATAAATTATGTGGACTAAATCTATATTAATAAAGATCTACATAAAAATATTTATAGACATATATAGTCTATAAAGAAACCCTTATGTCCTTTTTTTTACTTTTTTTCTATAAATAAGTTTGTTGTATATAACTTTTTACAAACTGCAATAACACCTGTAGTTTCTGTATATACATAACTATTTTTAGTTATTCTTAATTTTTTTTTTATCAAATATAAGTCTATTAGTAGTTTTTTTCTATATATACATAACTATTTTTAGTTATTCTTAATTTTTTTTTATCAAACATAAGTCTATTACACGTGCTTTAAATAATTCTCTTATCATAATTATTACATCGAATTACGATTAATGCAAAATGATCTAAAATATTTTAAGAAAAGTAAAAGCCAAAACCTCCTCCTTTATTTAAGTCACTGATCGTGAATAAATTATTATCCTTCAAACTTGATTATAGTTCTATATTTTAAAAGTGAATATAGTGTAGATTTCAGCCAAATCTATGGTATTAAATATTCTTGACAGCCATCTTATACAGAGAGCCATGATCACATCATAGAAAACTAGTTACCTTTTAAATTCTGGTACAAAAAAAAAAACGTACCAAAATGGTAGTTAAGATAGGAAATTATGTTATGACTGTTTGTATTGCTATTTAGCATATGATTGTCTATATAACATGGTCTATATAACATAATTAATTATTCAATTTATAAAAATCTTATTTTTAAACAAATCATACAAATCTTGTTTCAAAAAAGAAAAAATTGCAGTTTATTAAAAAATAAAGTTTTGATAAACAATGGCGCACAACATTAATACCCACAACAACACACCACCCAGTATTATCATTCTAAACTACGTCTATAAGTAATTATATCTATAGCACCTTCTTTCATTTTTTTGAAAGCACTAAATTTTTGACTAAATTTTCTAATCTTATCGCTGTTGTGTGTAGAAGCATTTTAGAGAATAAACAAATTTTTTGTGTTTGCAGACCCACTTACGCAGACGTCTTCTTAGCCCTCTTCAGCTCGCTTTCGCAACTGATTCCACACATTTTATTGCTAAAATACATTTATGCGTACACTTGTACTAACATTTCTCACCATACGGTTAGTAAAATGTGTAAGTTGATAAGTGTGCGAATGTGTGAATGTGTGTGAGTATGCGTGTGTGTGTCAGTGTCAGTGTGGAAAATTGTGACTTAAATAAGACAGTGACAACCACACAATAACAACACAGCTAAACTTTCGCTTTTCTTTGCATTCGCATTGTTTGCTTGATTGGAAAATGTTAAGGAAAACCTACCTACCTACCTACCGTATGTGTTGTTGCTGCTGATATGCCAACACTTATTGAAGTATTTGACTGACTGTGTGAAGTGTTGATTCTGTTTTGTATGTGTGTGTGTGTGTGTTTCTGATGTGCTGAAAAATACATTTGCAACGCATTTTTCACAAGTTTTATTTTAGTACAATTGTAACCTTATGAGCGGCAACATGTTGTTGTAGTGCATGGAAAATTTATTTAAAAAATATATAAAAAGTAAAGTAATGATAATTAAAGTTTAAAAGAAAATTTGAAAAACAAAATATTTATTTAAATTATAAAAATTTTTTTTACATACATACATTACATATTAAAAGGTTTCAACAAATAATTAAATATAATAACAAAAAAAAGCATTTAAATGAAAATTTCTAATAAACCACTTAACTAATTTTTTATGCTTATTACACATTTTATAGTTTTTTAAAAATTTTAAATTGTGCAATGTGACTTACAAAGCTAAACAAAGTTATATATATACAATATAAAATATAAAGTGTTTATAAATTTTGAAATCGACACAAATATTTTGTATAAACAAAATTAATTGTGTTTAATAACTGACATTTGTGCATTGAAACTAAGCAACTGTCAACTGTTTTTAAGACAATTTAAATATAAATACTCAAAAACAAAAACAAAAACAAAAAGAAAAGCAAATAGCAGCTAAGCCAATTAAAACAAATTTACAACAATAAATACATTATACGTAAATTTTAACTTACGCAAGAAGCGAACAAAACAAAGAACAAACCACACAACCACTGATGGCAACAACAGCACCCACAAGTACTATCGCCGTCATTAGCGAGCCCATAAAGATACCCTTAGGTGAGCGCTTTTCTACGCAGCTATCGACTGGTTCTGCTGACAGTGGTTGCATTGTGACATCATCTTCATCGGGTATCTCCCAGAAGCCGTCATCACAGTCATTAAACATACGCAGTAGCTCGGGCTCATTAAGCATACACGGTCCTAATGCAAAAAGCCAATTACAAAAATTAAAACAGCCCGCCTATAATCAACTACTCTCACAGGATAGTGGCATTGATAGTGTTGGCGCTGGTAATGCTTTAGCACGCGATGGTGAAAGTGATTCTACAGCAAGTTCACAGCAACAACTTAAATCTACACAATGTTCAAGTTCAAGCAGTGAGTCATTAAGTGGAAACTCTTCAGGTATATCATATACTATTGAATATGTCGATAATGGCTTCACAATTGGTTCAGTGCCAATGCGGCGACATAGATACAGAAATTCAAATAGTACCGGTACACAAGCTGCATTGGAAGATCGTATCGATGAAGTTGACATACCTGATGATGATGATGAAGATGATGATGATGATGATGAAGATGAAGAGTTTAATGATAAAGAAATCAAAGTGGCGAGTACGCAAAAAGAAGAGAAAGAGTTAGTTGTTAATGTTGACAACATTAATTCGACTGATAACAAACAAATTACTACTACTATAGAAAGCGATAACAATAAGACTTTAAAACAAACACTAGTACCAAAAGAAACTGCAAATACAAATGCCAATGAAACAAAGCCGACGTCAAGTGTATCCATCGAAACTACTCATAAATCATCAAATCAAACCAAAAAGAATGAAAATCAAGTATTGGCCACAGATGGCAATTATTATTTTCCATTATTAAAAATATCTGAAGATCCATTTATTGACTCAAAATTAATCAATAAGAAAGATGGATTGCAAGATACCATGTACTACCTTGATGAATTCGGTAGTCCAAAATTACGTGAAAAATATGCACGTAAACAGAAGCAAAAAGAAATAAAAAATGAAAAGGCCAAATTGAAGAAGAAAGAACGTGAAGGGCAGGAGCGCAAGAAGCGCACCACAATGGCCGATACAGATGATATGAATCTTTCGCAGGCGAATAATGACGCCATTGTAAGCACCACCAAACAATCCAAAACCTTAAAAGAAACTGACTGTGATAATAGAATTATAAGTGTTGATCATGTTAATAAAAATAGTTGTAAGCAAAAAACCAATGACTTAAATGATGAATTAGAAGTAGAGGGAACCTTACAGACACAAAATTCAACAAATTCAACTGTTAAATCAACAACGCCATCTTGTGTAAGCTGGAATAAAGTTATGCAGAAATTTAGAAATATTATAGGTAATATATTCTATATTTTAATATTCTTATATACTTTAAAAAAAAAATGACTCGTATTGAATTTATGGTAAAAGTATGCATTTTTATATATGAATATTAATGTTTGGAATTTAAATATTTTATATGAAAATAATTATTATTAACAAATGTACATATTTTAAATTTTAAACAAATTAATTAATTTTTTTTTATCATTCTCTTTTTCTTCTAGGTAAGTCGTTTTTATTTTATTGGGCAATTATAATATTTTAATCAACTTAAGGTAAGGTACAAGAAATCTTTTAATATATAATGTTTGTTTTTAAATATGAACAATACAAAATATATTACCATTAATTATTATCTTAACTTCTACAAATAAGTACACTACCTACTTTCAGAATCTTTAGATTTTTATTATATTACTTTACTTTAAATCTCCATTATTTAAATACGAGTACTTTTATGCTATTAGCATTTTCATTAATATTCCTTATATACTTACTCACTTATGAGGCGTTAATAACCTATTGTATGATTTCGGCTAAACTGCCAATACTCTATACGTGTCTTCTACACAAATCTTTAGTATTCTTCAACAAAAAAAAATGTTACTAACTTTATCTTCTATAACAAAAAATCTTTTTCGAATAGTTAAGTGTGTTAACAATGAGGAACCTTTTATATATATAAAAATAATAAAAAAATTATCTAAACTTATAATAAAAAAATTTAACAGTAGAGATCTTTAGCAATTATAAAATAAAAATATTAATACTCTGTTCTTAGTAATGTTATTTAATTAGCAATTAATGTTATTATTTATATTAATAAGGTAGAGTTGAACAGGTTGAGATTAAGATGTCACACCTAGACATTCAAGTCCTTAACTATACCAATTAGAAAAACAGATACCGTTGCAGTCTTATAGAGAAAGCTGTATGTATATCCGTTTTGTAAACTAATTGACCAGGGATATCTTAGTTTCATTACCTTATCAAGCTTTTATCATCGCACAATTTCTTCAATGTGCTTAGAAGAAAATTTTCCAAAATATACTAAAATATTTCATTCATTTCTTTTTTAGAGTATAAAATTGTAAAACATATGAGATGTAATACACATAATATAATGAATAATAATTTTAAGATAAAATTGTACAATATATAATATGTTACCAACTATTTGTCCAACTTCTCGATAATCTAGTGCTTTAAATCCCTTGTTTAATAACTCTGCTGACATTTCAACATGTGTTGCCATTTAGGAAAGTAGATTTTGTTCCATTTATTTTATCAACAATTGTAAATAAAATCAAAGCGTTATACGCTAAATTTCAAATATCTAACATATTACTGAATGCCACTAGAGATTATTGATTTATTTTCCTTTTACTAGTGCAATATGTCACAACTTTAATAAATGTATCTACAACATTTTTGTATTTGTTGTAATCTAATATTTTGTTTTTGCTTAACTATACTAACTTTTAAGCCATGATGCAAAGTGTAGGAAAGATTAAAACACTTATTTTTGTTAGGGATATAAGATATAAGGGTAATATCTACACTAAAACAAACTATTAAGAATACGATCTATGTTAAAAAATTGCATGTAGTAACATAAAGGCATTATAGTCCAGCTCTCAAATAAAAAATTGCTCATATAGCTTAGTATCTTTTATAAAGTTGGTTATGTGCATTTAACAGTAACGGAAGTCAGTAGTGTCGGAAAAACCCAACTTATTAGCAGCTTGCAGTGACCTATAAAGTCACTAATAAAATTGTTTAAGTCGAATCTGCTTAGTGAAATGTATAATTTGATATTACCTCTGCTAGGATGAGAAATTGATTTGTTTGTCTTTGACCCACACAATTAAGCCTATGGTCTACAAATTTTTCTTCATTTTCTGACATATTATTAGTTTTAACATTTAATAAAATTATAAATAGGAAACACTTGTTTTCAAAAAAACAAATTTTTAAAATATAATTTTTGTTTAGGCTACTCTGGTCTTATGATTGGGAGACAAATAAATTTTAATTTAATTCATTTTTTCACCCGTTTCATTGGTTTTTTTTCTAACATCTTCAGATGTATCTAAAAGAATTTTTTATAATTTGACCAAAAAAATTTTATGTACAAAAGAAATCATTTAGTTGGAAATAAAAATTATAAAAAAAATAATATAAATTCATTTTAATAGTACACATAACTTGTCAATAAATTGTTTGCAAAATGGCCGAAAGAAATTGTTTACATTTCATAGACTTAGTTTGTTGCATATTTAATTGAAAAATTATATTCAATTAATTCCGCAAAAAATAAGAATTTAATTCTAAGATTTTTTTATGTAAATAAACAGAAAGTTTCCCATGAACTCTTCAGCACACTTGTTATATTCTTGGATAAAACACCTTTTCCTGTTGCCATACTCATTGTTTTTCCCAAATTCTAATGAAATAAAATTGGAATGGATTATGTCAATGATAACATATTTTCCCAATGTTGTGGAAAATTTATTTTTTTAACTGAAAATGTGAAAATGTGAGATACATTTGCATAAACGCAAAAAGATTTTTCCACTGAAATCAAAATATATAAATTGATTTTTAACGCGAATAAGGAGCTGTGCTAATATATTCAATAAATATAAGGTGCAGAAATTATATATTTTTTAATGAATAAAATATATTCATGTACACGTACGTATTTAAGTATTTAAATTAAGAGTGTAAATGACTTTAGGAATGACTTTCGTGTTGTTTTTTTGGTGGTGATAAGAAGCTTAAGCTTCAGAAGAATTTCACACTGCTCTGTTGCTAAACAATCGCATTGTTGGTGACTGTCATTAAATGAAAAATTTTGATAAGATTCTGTATGTACGTCGACGACGAGTATACCATACATGCATGTGTAGATTTGTGCCTCATAATATATTAAAATTAATATGTGAAATTTTATATAATTGAATTAAATTTTTTTTTTTTATTATTATTATTTTTTAAACCGAGGTTATCATGTTTCACTGAAAAGTTGACGACGCGTCGCAGTTGTGGTTGAGCTTATTATTATAAATATTTATTTGTTCATTGCACACAGTATTATATATAATATTATTATATTAAATTGTTATTTAAATGGGATTTGCATAATCAGTTGTCGTAGTATAGTACTATTTGCAATTTTTATTTTTCATCTATATTTTATGATTTGGTTTTTTTTTTTGGAACGTTGTTGTTTTTGTTTTTGTTTCAGTTTTTCCCTTCACAATTGTTTGTTTAATATCATGCGACAAATATTAATTTGTTTTTTTGCGTATTACTGTTGCGTTATAATTTTTGTTCAAAGATGGGTGTGTCGTCCTAAACAAATTGTCTAAATTTACGAGTGCACACATAGAGAAGACACACCTCTACAAATATAATTTGTCTAACAATTTTTAACCACGCGTATAAATTTCTTCTTCTGTTTTGGCGCTTGGCGCTATAAAGAAAGAATATTTAGTAGATGTTTTTTTTTTTTTGTTTTTCTTATCATCTGATTTAAATTTGTTGTTTTTGAATGCTTTTTGGCATCTTTTCAATATCTTCAATTTTATTGAAAGTGAAAATGATAATAAAATTTTCCCAATAGAACAAAATATGTCTTTAAATTGAAATATTTTTAAATTTTGTTTTTAGTATTGTCAAAATTAAAAAAGTATATAATTAAATTTAAATGAATCATATATTAATTATTTTACACATAGTTAAATATAATTCAACTGAAGAATTTTTGTTTAACTTATTATTTATTTATTTATTACTGCTTTTTTTGTGTTTATGTATTATTATTTTATATTTATCATTATCTATTTATTGTTATTTTACATTTAATATTATTATTTTATATTTATTTATTATATTGCATTTATTGATTATTATTTTATATTTATTTATTATTATTTCTTTATTATCTATTATCTTGTACTTATCTATTATTGTCTTATATTTATTTATTATTATTTTATATTTAGTTATTTTTATTTCATATTTAGTTATTGTTATTCATATTTAGTTATTGTTATTTCATATTTATTTATTATTTTTTATATTTATTTATTATTTTTTATATTTATTTATTAATTTTTATATTTATTTATTAATTTTTATATTTGTTTATTATTTTTTATTACATTTTTAACATATATTGAATGTTTATATTTATTATAAAAAACTGCATGCGCATACGCCTTTAAAAATTTTGTTGCTCTCGAGAAGTTTTCTACTGCAATTTTATCCTAAAAATATGCAATGAAATTAGCATTAATAATGTATCCTACTTTCTTACAATTATATTTATTCATTAATAAACTTGACATTGTTTATAATATATAGATTTTTTAATATATATATACATATTTATATATACATATATATGTAAATACGTTGAATTTATGTGTTTTTTTAGTAATGCAAAATTTTTTACAAAAAATTTTTGTTGGTATTAAAAAAACACCTACGCATTTTAAATATATCCATTTAAATTTAAAAAATCTTTCTTGATTTTTCTGATATATATTTTTGTTTTCTTGAGCGAAAATAATTTTTTTGTTACTATTTTAAAAATTATTTGTTAAAAAATTAGATCTTCACATATTTGAAGCTTCAATCAAATTCTAATTATGTGACGCATGTAGTTAATTTGTGTTGAATTCTACAAATTTTTTTTTTATTTTTTTTTATTTTATTTATATCTTTTTTTTTTATTTTGATTCATTTAATATAAACATCCGTTTCGAAAATTTTGCAAATTACTATATCACATCAAATATATTATTTTATTAACTGTCAATAATATTGTTTAATTTTAACTCGCGTGGCTTTTTAATACTTTTATATATGTACGTACAATCGTCATTATTTATTTGATCAATCCATAAAATTTTCTTTCGTACCCGTAAATGAAAGTGTAATTTAATTTTCATGAAAAAGTTTCTTTCTAGTTGAGTTTGACGTCAATTTTGTGTTGTGTACTTTTCAACTATACAATTCAATTTCAAAGTAAAATGTAAAGAAAAAAGTTGGCTATTGTTTTCTTTAACTTTTCTTTAGTGAATACTTAATAAACGTTTCAGTTCTATTTTTAATTTTTTGTACAATTAAATTTTACCCCTTTGACAGTTTTTGTATCGTTGGTTTTTTTTATTTATTTATTTATTTAATTTATTTTTTTAAATATATTTTCTATGTGTCTTTTGTTGCGAATCTCGTGACAATGATAAAGCCATCACTTGATATTTTTCT